AAAGGGTCCATCTCCCCGAGTAGCCTGTCTGCCGACAGCGGCCAACACTAGGGACCCTGGAGGGGATGGACCGAAACAATGACCAAACCATTTGTCTCGTGCCATCCCTCTCCAGCCTTCCACAAACCTTGGGTAGGGACACCACTCCTACCCCCTGGCTAATACCACTCCATGGACCCAACCTCTATGACTTGATCTCACTTCCCTTTAAACTCTGTTCTAGTTGTAGCCTTCACAGCCTCCTGCAGTAAGGAGTTCCACAGGTTGACTATTTGCTTTGTGAAGAACAACTTTCTGTTCTTAGTTTGAAGCCTGCTACCCATTCCTTTCCTTTGGTGTCCACTAGTCCTTCTATTATGGGAACTAATGAAGAACTTTTCTGTATGCACCCTCTCCACCCCACTCATGCTTTTCTAGACCTCTATCATATCCCCCCTCCATCTCCTCTTTTCTAAGCTGAAAAGTCCCAGTCTCTTTAGCCTCTCTTCATATGGGACCTGTTCCAAAGCCCTCATCATTGTAGTTGCCCTCCCCTCTCCCACCCTCTCTCTTCCCCTCTCCCACCTCCTTTTCCCAGTCTCCCCCAGTTTTATTCAATAAAGACAGATTCCATTTTTGAACACAATTGTCCTTTATTTTGTACATCAGGAAGGGGGGCTAGGGAGGGGTAAGTGGAAGGAGGTGAGGGAGGAATGGGGTACGCGCCCCCGATGGGGAGGACTGGGCTGGCTCTGCGGGCTTCTGGGGGTGGAAGCTCTCCTGCAGCCCCCCAATTGTCCCCTCTCCCCAGATGGCAGCCTGCGGCAAGTGCAGCCGGGCTGATGGCCGAGTGCTGTGATGTGCCCAGTGTGGGTACTCCAGGCAATCCAAGCCAGGACTGCTTTGCAAGCGGGGCACCCCTGAGAACTGTCTGTCCGGGGTGGGGTTCGGGACCCTTTAAGCACAGCCCTCGGCTAGCCTGAGACATCATCTGCACGCTCTAACTCCTCCTCTGATGCCCTGCCGGTACTGCTTCCGGCCATCCTTCAGCCTGGTTCAGGGTCCACTTAATGTGGACATGCTAGTTCGAATTAGCATAACACTAATTCGAACTAGTTTTTTAGTCTGGATCCGTTAGTTCGAATTAGCTTAGTTCGAATTAACGTTGTAGTGTAGACGTACCCTGTCTGAGTTTCCTCACTTCTAACATAGAGGACTATATTAATGACCCTACTTGACAGCAGAATTCTGAGGATTATAAAACACCCTGTGTTCGTTATATGATATAGAAAATCAACATGTTAATGGGTCTCTGAGCTAAGCTATTAATATGACCCACTGGCAAGCTAGGCATACACTGTTGTGATTCAAGCTCCGTTAGCATGATAAACAAACCTCATCCACAAGTTTCTGGCTAGGCAGACTGCAACACATAAAAATGCTGCAACTTCATAACACAAAGGAGAAACATTTCTTTTATTTAAAACTAATGTGAGTTGATATTGCAATTTTGTGTGTGTTAGTCAGCTGATTTTTAGTATATATTATTAAAGAAATCAAAGCTCAGCCTCAGATAATGAGCCAAGATCCATAAAGCAATAGCGAAGACACCATCAAGATTAGTCATAGCAAATGACAGAACTAGAATATTTTGTCTTATCTGCAATCATCAGAATATTTTTCATTGGAGAAGAAAAATGTGAAATATTAATACTGTATGAACAAAGAGGCATTAACATTAGAATAATTACTACATAAAAATAAAACCATCAAGCTATTTCATGTAGTGAGAGGGAATGCAGGATTAAACCAAAGCAATTTAAACATATTTTGCTTCAATCTAAATGTAGACCAGTATTGTAAAGCTGTCTATTCATTTAATGATCACATTTCATTCCCAGTGTACAGCTTTAAAAGGAACATTAGCAGCCTGAAATGAAAAGCAACAGAAAAGAAAGTGCATCTTTAGTCAGTACAAAGTCTTTCAATGTGCAAAGAAAACTTTGGAAAATGCTTGAAGTAACAGAATGAGAAATAGAAGAATGTATAAGTCAAATGGTAGATATTTTCAGGTACATTTATTTAAAAAAAACCACAGTGATGAAATGGGGAATAATTTCAGTACCTTACACCGTTAGAGTATTGTCTGTAACAAAAGCCCACTGTGCTCTATAAATATTAATTGATTTAGCCTCCCACAGCCCCATAATGAAGGAATTGGCATTCATACTGTCACAGGAAACTGAGGCACAGAGAATCCGATAAGTCCAAGGTTGCATAGGAAGTCTGTGCAAGAATCCAATATTGTGGCAGCCATTCTGGGTACGTCTACACTACAGCATTATTTCAAAATATCTTATTTTGAAATATCTTATTTTGAAATAGTTATTTCAAAATAACGCGTCTAGACACAAAATGCAGTTCAAAAAAGCGTTTTGCTATTTCTAAATAAGATAGGACGCTGAATCGTGTTTAAAGCCAGCAGGAACTGGTTCTGGCAGGGCATCAGGTCAGGAGTTACCTTGTGTGGCTGCTGCCTGAGGCTCTCTGAGACCTGTGTTTAAAGGGACCCACCAGACAGCTGGTTCTAACGTTTCCTTGCTTGCTTGCCTACCTCGCTGAGGGACAGCAAAGCATTTTTTTCTCTGTGTGCTCTGGTTGCCCTCACTCAGGACACCACAGCACTCTGCGGCATGGAGCTGGAGCCGCCGCTGGGCACTCTGGTGCTTCTACTGGACGTGTTGCTGCAAGCCTGGCAGCATGTTCTGCAGGCAGTAACAGTCTCCCTGGTGTGCCCCACTGGGAGCGTGTGCCTCATTCCTCCCTCACATCCTGCCACTT